GGGGGACTGCGAGCCGGGGCCAGAGGGCCCTGCCCTGGGCGCACCGGAGGGGCCACCTCCAGCTGCTCCAGCAGGGTCATCCAGGGAGACTGTACCGGGTAAGTAGTTTGAATTAAGTAGTTTGGGGGGGGAGGTGGGAGGGACACCAGGGACCGTGCGCGTGGGCCATGCCTTCCACGGATCACGCAGACACCTGTGCACGTGCGAGCACGTGCCATGCCACCCTTGGGCAGGTGGCTCCAGCTGCGTGACACCCAGGGGCCATTGCCCAATAGGCACATGCTTGTGCAAAGAGACGTGACATGCTCCCGACCCCGGGGCAGGACCCAGCAGGATGATTTCCCTTCACATGTCCCCTCTACACGGAGGCAGGGGACATCTCCCCTTTCCTCCCACCGCCCCGGCCACACTATACATGGCACAGGGACATGGGTGTGGTCTTGGGGCAGCTCCCAGTCCCGGGGAGAGCCAGACATTCTGACCATGGCCTCTGTACAAGCCTGGTCTAGTGCGGACATCGTGGACCTCGTCCACGACCTCCGCACTAGGCACAGGAAAGTGGCCGGCCAGGGCAGGAGAGCTGCCAGCCTGGCCACCCAGGACCAGGTGTGCATGAAAATCAAGGGGGTCCACTGAGACCCCCGACACTGAGCCCTGAGCTTACAATGGCCGTCCTGGGTCAGACCAAAGGTCCATCTAGCCCAGTAGCCTGTCTGCCGACAGCGGCCAACCCTAGGGACCCTGGCGGGGATGGACCGAAGACAGTGACCAAGCCATTTGTCTCGTGCCATCCCTCTCCAGCCTTCCACAAACTTTGGGCAGGGACACCACTCCTACCCTCTGGCTAATAGGACTCCATGGACCCAACCTCCATCACTTTATCTCACTTCCCTTTAAACTCTGTTCTAGTTGTAGCCTTCACAGCCTCCTGCAGCAAGGAGTTCCACAGGTTAACTATTTGCTTTGTCAAGAACAACAACTTTCTCTTACTAGTTTCAAGCCTGCTACCCATTCCTTTCCTTTGGTGTCCTCTAGTCCTTCTTTATGGGAACTCAGGAAGAACTTTTCTGAATGCACCCTCTCCACCCAACCCCTGCTTTTAGAGACCTCTATCCTGTCCCCCCTCCGTCTCCTCTTTTCTAAGCTGAACAGTCCCAGTCTCTGTAGCCTTTCTTCATCTGGGACCTGTTCCCAACCCCTGATCATGTTAGTTGCCCTCCCCTCTCCCAGCCTTTCTCTTCCCCTCTCCCACCTCCTTTTCCCAGTCTCCCCGAGTTTTGTTCAATAAAGAGAGATTCTATTTTTGACCACACATTTTCTTTATTTTGTACATCAGGAAGGGGGGCTAGGGAAGGGTAAGTGGAAGGAGGTGAGGGAGGAATGGGGTACGAGCCCCCGATGGGGAGGACTGGGCTGGCTCTGCGGGCTTCTGGGGGTGGAAGCTCTCCTGCAGCCCCCCAATTGCCCCCTCTCCCCAGATGGCAGCCTGCGGCAAGTGCAGCCGGGCTGATGGCCGAGTGGTGTGATGTGCCCAGTGTGGGCACTCCGGGAACTCCAAGCCAGGACTGCTTTGCAAGCGGGGCACCCCTTAGAACTGTCTGTCCAGGGTGGGGGTCGGGTCCCTTTAAGCGCAGCCCTCGGCTAGCCTGAGGCAGCAGCTCCATGCTCTAAGTCCTCCTCTCATGCCCTGCCTGCACTGCTTCCGGCCATCTTTAACCCCGGTTCAGGGTCCACTTAATGTGGACTTGCAAGTTTTTTAGTCTGGATCCGTTAGTTCGAATTAGCTTAGTTCGAATTAACTAAGTTAGTTTGAATTAATGTTGTAGTGTAGACGTACCCTAATAGATTAGTAAGACATGTGGAACTCCTTGCCACTGATATTATTTGAGCAAAGAGCTTACCGGCATAGGCCTCCTGAGACCTTCAATTAGCAGACCTCATTTTCAGTTGCCTACACATTTCCCTAATTTTAACTGTTTGGACCAAAGTGACCCACAATGGGTGCATGCTTCTGGCTGCATTGGTATCTGAACATTTCAAGCAGAAAAGTTCAGCCGACTTCTAGATTTAAGGAGGAAGGAAGATGCCTTGTCCATGGTGGAAACATATTTTATAATTGTTTCAGGGAGGAGCCCTAGCACCCCAGACTTTCCAGCAGCTAAAAATCAGGTAACAGCCCCCCACCTCCCACACCAAGAACAGCCAGAGCCCTGAGAGGCAGGAGGAAGCGCCACAGTAGTGTGGGGTGCAGGACTCTCCCCGCTGGTCCCCACCACCTCCTCACAGACCCACATATGAACAGATGGGCTCACGGACAGACAGACAGATGCACAAATTGTATATTTACACAGAAGTCTCCACCTCAGGCTCCTGCTAAAGTGTACATGAACAGCCCAAAGACAGAAAGGAACAGAAGACTCCTACAATCAAACATGAATTAATAGTTTCCACCCATCTGGGGTTTAGCCAAACAGTCTGGTTACATCTACACTGGTAGCTTCTTGCGCAAGAACTGGTTTGCGGAAGAGCTCTTGTACAAAAAGTCTTCCACAAGAGCGCGTCTACACTGGCATGTGCTTTTGCACAAGAGCATCCATGGCAGTGTGGACGCTCTCTTGCGCAAGAAAGCTCTGATGGCCATTTTAACCATAGGGGCTTCTTGTGCAAGAAATTCATGTTGCCTGTCTACACTGCCCTCTAGTGGAAGAGCTCTTGAGCAAGAGGGCTTATTCCTTGTGGGGAGAGGAATAACTTCCAGAAGGAGCCCTGTTTTACAACGCTGTAAATTTACTAGTGCAAGAAGCGTGTGCAGTGTAGGCAGCCGGCAAGTTCTTGCACAAGAAGCTGCCAGTGTAGACATAGCCTCTGTGTTTTGGCTTCAGACTCTGGGTGCCATTTAGGGTTGCCAGTTACCCGATTTACAGCTGGAAAGGGGACATGGCAATGTGTGTTGAATGGGAGAGACATCAGTTCATTCAATCTCAACAGCCCCTGCTCAGCCAGGATTGTAGGTTCCTTGTCTGGCCGAAGCAGCTCCCGCCCCCGGTAACCGATGGGGTGAGTCAAGGGGAGGAGCGAGCAACGGGGCTGGACAATATGGGAAGAGGTGAAGAAGGGGGCTTTGCATTGAGGGGAAAGGTAGGGCTGGGAGAAGAGTCTGGGAGAAGACGTGGGATGGGGGAGACTTGGGGGAAGAGGAAGGGCAGAGAGCGGGGCCTCAGGCGTCCAGTTACCAGCAACGAGAAAGGGGACAACAATTCCAATTCTAGTAGACGGATTTTGCAGTTTGTCACTTTGACGACGTTCTGGAAGGACGGGAAAGGCTTTGTCGTTCCCCTGTCAGTCATTCGGGGGAGAGGGCTCCGCACGTATTTGCCTCTCTGAATACGGGACAGCTGGTGAAATTAAACATTCCAATTGACAGCAGGTTGACTGAGCCCGTTAGGAAGAAATACACTCTCTCCACGACACGTCTCTGACACGAGGCTGGTGTGGGCGACTGACTCTCTGCCCAGTGCTCTCCACCCTCCATGCCTGTCTGGGGCCCTGGGGCGGACCCCACTCTCCTGAGGCATCATGTGGGGGTGGCACACGGTGTCGTAGGCCGCCTAACCAGATTCTGTGAAGGAAAGGCCAGCAGCAGCCTTTCCGCACTGTGCAGGAGGGAAGGGACAGGATTGGGGATGGGAGGTGGGGATGACTTGGTCCATGTCTTTTCAGAGATCTCTTCCCTCCTCCTCCCCCACCCCCTGTGACTAGAAGCAGTTCGTCCCACCCTGCCCATAGAAAGGCAGCTCACCCCTCCAAGCTGCTGCTGGCCACTGACATATAGACGGTGCATGCTCCTGCCATGAGGGCAGGGGACTGGACCTGACAACCTCTCGAGGTCCCTTCCAGTTCTAATGCTCTATGATTCTATGATTCTATAATCCAGCTGCCTGCTGTTTCCTGGCTAGAGTGTGACAAGAAGGGGCTAATCCCTCAGGCTGCCTTTGCACCAGGGACAGGTGCCCACCCAGCCAGAGACGTGGCTCAGCAGGGGAGCGCACCAAGGGGATAGAACAGCCCCTCCAAAGCCTGGGGGAGGGACTAGGGCAGGCGCAGGGTACGAACAGTATGCTAAGTCCCTTCAGGCTCGGGAGCGAACAGGTTGGAAGTAGCTTCCTTGCCCCACTCCACAGCTTAGCCAAGGGGCAGAGAGGCTTCCTTGGGCCAGCATTTGGGGGGCTTTGACACATGCAGGGCTTGGCTCCTCCTGGCCAACACCTTGGGCCATAGGGTTCTGAGCTTTCCTGGAGGCCAGCCCTGCCAGAGGCAGTGGGGGAAGGATGGAACCAGCTGGATGAGCTGTTGTGAGCTGAATGATTTCACCAGGAGCTGGTTCTCCGCACAGCACCGGAAGTGGGAGGCACTCAGGGGGATATGGAGAAGCAGCAGGGCAGTAGAGGTGACACCTAAGCATCCACCACCTACCCATACTCACCAGCCTCCGGAGAAAGCAGCCAGTGCTCACCAGAAATGGGACAGGGGCACCTGCTGGCCAAGAGGAGACAATCAGCAGGGATGCCACTGTGGATCCAGCAGTGGGAGGGGCTGGCCTTGCACACGGCAGCTTTCCCAACATTGGTCATCCACCCATATCGTCAACCCCTGGACTCCCGCCTCTCACCGCTGGTGGGTGGGTGGCTGATGAGCAAGGATCAGGCCAAAAGTACATCCCACAAGCACTTCTGGGAGGGGAGAGTCAGAAAATATGGGATCAGCTGCACGTTTTAAGAAAAATTAGGGACAGCTGCAGGAAGGCTTAAGTACACAAGAGTCTCTTTAAAAATGGAACTTCGGGTCGCTGGACCTCAGCACCATGTCACCAGCCAACTCTCTCTAGAGCTTGGTTTGAAAACCAGAACGAAGGCAGAACACCTCATTCCCTTTGTGAGTAACAAGCTGGAGCAGCCTGTCCCGGATCTGTCTGGTGCGCACCCCATAGATGATGGGGTTGAGCATGGGGGGCACCAGGAGGTACACGTTGGCAATGAGAACATGGAAATGAAGAGGCACATTCTGTCCAAACCGGTGTGTGAGGAAGGAGAACAGAGCTGGAATGTAAGAGACTGAAATGACACACAGGTGGGAGCTGCAAGTCCCAAAAGTCTTGAGCCGGGCATCCTGGGTGGGGAGGCAGAAGATGGCCCTGAGAATCTGGGTGTAGGACACAGCGATAAAAGACACATCCAGGCAGGTCAAAAAGAACGCCAGAAAGAGTCCGTAGTAACTACTGACACGGATGTCGGCACAGGCCAGCTTCACCACGGCCATGTGCTCGCAGTATGTGTGGGGGATGATGTTGGTTCTGCAATATGGCCACTGCCTCGCCAGAAAGGGATAGGGCAGTAGGAGCAGGCCACCGCGCAGCAATACAGCCAGACCGAGCTTGACCACAACATGGTTCGTCAGGATGGTGGAATGTCTCAGGGGGTGGCAGATGGCCACGTAGCGATCCAACGCCATGGCTACGAAGATACCAGACTCCATCACTGAGAAACAGTGAAGGAAGTACAGCTGGGTGAGGCAGGCACTGAAATCGATCTCTCTGGAATTGAACCAGAAGATGCTCAGCATTTTGGGAAGTGTGGATGTGGACAGGACCAGGTCGGTGATGGCCAGCATGCAGAGGAAATAGTACATGGGCTGGTGGAGGCTTGACTCTGTCTTCACAATGAAGAGGATGGTGATGTTCCCCAAGAGGGCGATGGCTATGGGCCGTCTCCAGGCCGGGAATGCCCAGCAGGATGAAGGTGGAGGGGTTGGTGAAGTCGGTTGTGTTGGAATCTGACATGGAGCGGGGAGGAAGGTATCCGACTCTGAGGCAAAACGGTGTCTCCTGCATGTGCCGCACATTCCTGAGTCTCTCTACGTTCCCAGGATCTGGAGTGATGGTCACAGCCCCAACACCTGCATAGAGAGACAATGTGAACAGGTGACACGACATGCACGGTCGGAGGCTGTGCTCATGGGGGAAGCAGATTGGTTGCTTATCACCCGAGAAATGACATTTTCATTATTCGGAGAAATGAAGGATGAAAACCTGACCCTCCCAATGCCAGTTCCATATGGTACCTAGTGACTGAATTCTACAGTTTGGTGGGCGACACTTAATAGACACCGGCAGGAAAAAACGAATACAAAGTCCTTGGTGTAGGGGGTTCCCCTTTCACTCAGTTTCTTAGTCTGAGAATGGAGGAAATCTGAAGACAGGTGCCGGGAGAGGGAGGAATAGGACACCGCCTGCTCACTTGTCCAGCTGATCGCTCACAGCAGTGGCCAAACCAAAGACAACGTTCAGATGTTTAAAGAATGGGATGGAGACTGGCCTGCTCCGCACAGGGGCTCAGGTTTGGTTCCCCCGTGTCTATACATGGGAAAACAGATACCAAGGGGGGTTTGGAGTGTGACGGCGCAGTCGGGGTGTCCCCAGCACTGCACCCCCGGAGCAGAAAGAAGAGACGCCACCTGCCAGTAGAATGGAGGGTTTATTGCTTCTCCAGGATACAGCCCAGCATAGCCGTGATGTGTCTACAGGAGTGTAGGCCAGGATGCCTCAGGCCCCTTGAGATGGGATCCCTAGGTCGCTAGATTCCAGCCCCTCCTTGGTCTGTCCCTTTCATGGTTTCTGCCCAAGACTGACTCTTCCCTCAAACACTCACTCCCCTATTCCCCTCGCTGCCCCAACTCGTCTGATCGGTTGGGTCTTTGTCTACGTGACTTAGGCAGCCCCCCTGCTGGGCAGTGCTCTCAGGCAGAGGCCAGTAGGGGTCATCTACAGCCCACAACCCAGGCACCGCAACCAGCAAGGTACGGACACTACATCACAGTGGGAATCCCACATCGCAGCACAGGGGGACCCCGGGATACAGAGCAGACAGCCCCCCGCTACGCCACATGGAGACAGGTTGTGAGAGGGGGGAAGCTGACATATGCTGCCAGCCCGAAAAGTCTGGAATGGTTTTGTTTAGAAAAGTGATAAGAAGTGGGCATATGGGAGGAGACTAAAACAAAGAACGGAACTGATTACATTCAAACTTACAGAGAGAAGACTCATAGAACCAATGAACACTAGGACTGGAAGGGACCTCGAGAGTCATCGAGTCCAGTCCCCTGCCCTCACGGCAGTAATATCCACATATACTGAGTACTTCAGAAGGGCCAGTTCTCCAAAGCTAGGACCAATTATCAGCAGAAACCATTGGGAGGGAATTTTCAGAGAGAAAAAGGAGAAGGCAAATTGGCAGTTCTTTAGTAGGAGTTTATTAAATGACTAAAAAGCTGCGATCCCACCCTCTAGAAAGGCGACAACGTTAGTTCAATCCAAGTTGAATGCAGAGTGAAGGCAGGCCTGTTTTCATTCATGACCTGGAAGGAAATAGAAAACCATGGCGGATAACATTCGAGGTCAACCAGAGTGGCTGCAGGAGGTACCAGAGCAGGCACCGACTGCTCTGATGCCTCATGGGAGCCTGTTCCAGGCCAAAAAAAAAATAGTACAGACAAATGCTAAGTTATCCTTCTGGACAGGGGTCTGCAGATTTTGGCCCTGGATAAGAGATGGCAACGACCCTGAGGACGCCTGAGGGAGCAGTGCAGACAGCCAGCTCGTGGTGAGCTCCCTGTGTCAGGCCGCTACTGGAATCTTTGGATGAATAAGCGGAGTTGTGGTGGGATGGAGCAGGGGAGGGGTTTCCCCTTGGACATGGCGTGGGGGGGAGGCTCTGGCTGCATGCAGCCCCACGGCCCACATTTCCAAAAGGGTGTTAAAAGGTGGAGATGGTAGAGGAGAGGCATGAAAACGCCTGGAGACCGGAGACAATGCCCGAGCGTGAGAGACTTAAAGACTTAGTCCAGTGTCTTACCTACGAGTCAAACAAGCAAGATTCCCTGGGGATAAAAGCGTGGCTGCTCGCAAGCTCGGGAACCTAGCAGAGAAAGGCAGAGCGATGCAGGATGGCTGGGAGCTGTAGCCAGGCAAATCTCAGATGGAAATAATGAAGAAATGTTCAGCACCCAGGGCGATGAACCATTTGGACCCACTGAGAGGGGACGTGGGGTGTTCTCCAGCTCCCCATGTCAGCAGATCCAGACTGGATGCTTTTGGGGAAGACCTGCCCGAGGGCATGTCCACAAGAAAACACTCTAGCAACCCTGTCCTGAAGTTTCAGTTGATGTAATTCTGCTACATGGGTGGTGGGCGGTTGGCCGATGGGAAGTGTTCTTGTGGTGACCTCGTGCTGGGGTTCGGATGATAGAGCTACCTCTCTCTGGGGGGTGGAGTCTGCAAAGAAATGCAGGTTTTGGTTGCATTAACCAGAAACTCGGGGGTGCAAGTACTGCTCTGCTCAGGCCTCTGCGGGAGAATTGATCCTGATCATGGTCAGCTACACTCAGAAGGCTGGAGAGAAAGTGGAAAGGATCCCGAGGTGAGAGACACGGATGATCCACGGGATGGAACGCCGGCCGTGCAAGCCAAGTCTAAAGGAACTGGGTATGGCGACTTAGTCCAAATGGAGATTGACGGTGGCTGCAACAGTGCTCTTAAAATACTCGAAAAGCCCCGGGAAAGGGGTGAGGACGGCTTGTTCTCTGTCACCCGGAAGACAGGACAAGGGGTGATGGTTTCAAACGGCAGCCTCGCAGAGAGGGGGAGTGGATGAGGTGCCTTGGGATGTTCTGAGGCGGCCAAAGAGCCACCTCCCTGAGCGAGTTCGGACAGAGCCCTGTGGGCCCTTCTCATCCTGTGGCGCCATGATTCCAGGGTGAGAGTCCTAGTGTGGACCACGTCTCCGTCTTTGGGCTCAGTTTGGGGATCGCTGGGTGAAATGCAATGGCCTGCCCCATGCCAAACTTCATACTGGATGATCTATAGCTCCCTTCCGGTCCTACACCTTGAATTAGAGAGCCTTGTTGTAATGTGCTCTTAAGGGTGCCAAATTGTATTTGTTTGTCCTGAAATGTCCCACACTGGGCGTCTGCTTCTAGCTGAACGAATCTCTCTAAGTTTCTGTCACAAGAGTTCAGCCGGCTCCTCGGCCAACGCGAGTTGAGAAGAGGTCTTGCCCTTGTAGAGAAAATCTTGCAGTGACTCACTCCAGTGAGGATCACTAGACCTTCCCTGCGTCGGAGCAGAAACCAGTCTGGGGACAGCCCTCCCAGGAACGGGCAGAGCCCTAAGAAGCCAGAGGAGGGGCTGATGGAGTCTGGGCAGGAACACGCAGCTTGGTCCTCAGGGCTTCACTCAGGCTAGGGCTAGACTACTGTTGGAAAAAGCTACGTGCCAGGGCTTCAGGGTCTGGCGTTGCATTAGACATCGACCCACATCTTCCCTGCTGAAGGACCCACTGTGCCACTGGAATGCAGCCTCCCTGGCATGGGAGTGAGGGGGAAGCGGTGGGGACTGAACTAACGACAGTGGTCTGTGACACTGGAGCAAAATCACCCCCTGGGCCAAGGGCCGTGGTGTGTGTAATGGCCGTGTGGAGCAGAAAGGAGCACGGACCGACTCTCTGTCCTTTCATGGCCATGCTGCACCGAGCTGATTGAGCAGGGGAGCTCCTCAGCTAGATACGGGTACCTGTGATTTCTGACCGAAGCGTCTTCCCTGGGAACCCCCTCAGGCAGCCATGTCCCGCACCTCTCTCAGCCCAGTGCCTGCAGCAGCGTCCTGCACCGAGAGCCAGCACAGGGCTGGGCACCGTCTATAACCCATCTCTAAGCCGTCCCAGTGGGGTTCTCAACTTCTAAGGAAGAAGTAGCATCTGGCTGTAACCAGGCTGGAGACTGGCCTGTCTGCACCTCTGGGATATTTATGCAGCTTTAGGAGTAAACAGCAATTTAGGGACCTTCCAAAGGGAGCTGAGAACTCTTGGGCTCTGGGCTGAGTCAGGGAAGTATTGGCTTCTCTGCACATTTGTGTGTATTTTAAAATAATAATTGATTAGTTAGAAAACTAGGGATAATGCCTAGATCGCCGTACTCTCTGATACTCTTTAAATGCCCAGGCAGGACAGGTGGATAATAGGCAGACAGCTGAGGAAAGAGATGTCTGGAGGGAGACACACACTCTACATGCGTACGGAGCTATCGCTAAAGGATTAGAGATCAGTAATTCTCATCAGTAACTACCTTAGCGCTCATCTGAGGAAGAGGGTTTTGCCCAGAAAAACTGTCTACAGTAGGAAGTTATTTCAAAATAACCCCTTATATTTTGAAATAGTAAGTGGAGCGTTCCCTCTACCAAGTCCATTATTTCAAAATAACGAGATCGGTACTTGAAATCTGAACACCTCCTTTCTTTGGGGAATAACACTTATTTTGAATGAATTATTTCAAAATAGCAAATGCTTTTAACAGAAAAGTTTTCCGTTAAAAGAATTTTTGGAAAAGAGTATCTAGATTGGCATGGACGCTTTTCCGCAAAAGTACTTTTTGCAGAAAAGCGTCCATGGCCAATCTAGACGTGCTTTTGCGCAATAAAGCCCCAATCGCCATTTTCGCGATTGGGGCTTTTTTGCGGAAAACAGATGTCAGCTGTCTACACTGGCCCTTTTGCGCAAAAGTTTTGCGCAAAAGGGACTTTTGCCCAAACGGGAGCAGCATAGTATTTCCATAAGAAGCACTGATTTCTTACAGTAGGAAGTCACTGCTTTTGCGGAAATTCAAGCGGCCAGTGTAGACAGCTGGCAAGTTTTTCCGGAAAAGCAGCTGATTTTCTGGAAAAACTGGCCAATCTAGACACAGCCCAGTTGTGTGGACGCTCCACTGCTGCTGTTGTGAAATAACTACACC